CACACCCCAAGGGGGGGGGCTCTCAAACACTTCTCTAGAGCTCCCTTCCCTTTTCTCCCTCAAATTCTCTTAGTTTCCTTTCAAGTTGTAAATTGTTGTAACAAAATGAGTTTACTAAATTTTCTTTCAAGTTTTCTTAGTTCCACTTTACTTTTATTGTAATGTACATTCTTTCTTAAGTATTCAAGTTTAATTAGTTTCCAAGTTTCAATTATGGTTTTTGTTCTTATTCATTATGCTTATAAGTTAATATGCTAGTTTGAATGATTGATCACCATTTAGGCTTGCATGTTAGCTATCTTGGTTTGAATTAAGAGTAGACACCATGCTTTAATTCGAATTGAACTATGAATAAGAAGAGTATGTATGGACATTCGACAACAGGGATTAGATACATGCTTGGTTGTTTAAATTGTTCTTCTATGCTTAATGGGTTCCTAATGCTTAGTTTTAGGTTAGACAACAAATGATCAAATTAGGGAATTAGGAACACAAGGTTTTGACCAAACACCATGGCTTAATCATACTTTAGCTAGAATCAATCCATTAATCTAATTGAACTTGGGAACTTATTTGCTTGAGTTATTTCTTTTTTTTTTCTTTTTTTATTTATTTCCTTTTTCATTTCTATTTTGTGTAGGGAAAACAAATTGGATCATTCAATCGCCAATCCTCGTGGGATCGACCTCGCACTTACATATGCTATACTACCAAACGGCTCGTGCACTTGCGAGTATCACAAGTTGAGGATGCAGCTGAATCTATTTTGGTGCAGCTGAATCGAAGCAACAATACACCATATATACAGGATGCTAGTGGTGGTCAACTATAACAAAAGAGGAAAATACATGATTACAGGGATTTGTACATAAATTGCACCAATCACGTTGTGATGGGAGGTTGACTTGGGATAGTGGGATTCTTGGCTTGATTGTTGTTCTCTTCAGCCCCCGCTCAAGCGAAACAGAACCAAATGGAGATTGAGCTTGCCAGAAAAAAAGGAGAACCGTTCTCTGGAGAGACTTTTGGTAAAAATATTGGCTAATTGATGTTGGGACGTGTGCGAAGAACTCCATGTGCCAGTAATTCACTAACAAAATGATAATCAATTTCAATATGACGCATGCGAGCATGGAAGACTGGATTTGCAACCATGTGAAGGGTGGAAATATTGTTGACAAAGACGCATGGTGGAGTGCGAAGCAGAACCCCAAGTTAACGGAAAGGATAACGAAACCACTGAAGTTCAGCAAGGGCTCTATACTCAACTTCTGAGTTGGACCTAGAGACGGTGGATTGCTTTTTGGCGGTCCAAGTGAGAATATTGGGACCAAGAAAGATGCAGGCCCCACTAGTTGAACGACGATTGTCAAGATAGCCGGCCCAATCTGCATCAGAGAAGGCGCGTAAGGTGTAACAAGGGGAAGAGCGATAAATAAGGCCATGTTCAATAGTCCCCTTTATGTAACGATAAATGCGTTTGACGGCTTGTAGATGAGTAGTCTTGGGATTGTGCATGTATTGACAGACTTGGTTGACGGCATATGCAATGTTTGGGCGAGATAAAGTGAGATATTGAAGTCCTCCAACCATGCTACGATAGATTTCAGGATCTGAAAGAGAATCACCATCATGGGCAGAGAGCTGTTGAGAGGAAAGCAAAGGTGTAGGACAAGGTTTGCATAGGTCCATTTTGAACTTCTTCAATAAATCTGAAGCATGTGATGACATGTATTGCTCTTTCTTACCCTTATAATAGTAATAATATCTGAATGTTATGATTTATAGTATTTATATATATGCAGGGTAAGATATCAAGAGAGGAGGTTGCTCAGATTTGTGTTGCTGCGTTGGAAAGACCCTATGCATCTGGCAAGACATTTGAGGTCACAGCCCGACTTATGTCCCTTAATTGTGTGCTGTGTGATGTGGCTGTAATTTGCTATTTTTGGAAGTTAAAAGCTTTTGCAAATTCTGAGATGCTTATAAACTTATTTGCAGGTTAAAAGTGTTGTGCCATTTAGTGAGCCATTTACAGTGGACCCACAAAATCCCACCCCCATATACTTCCATTTTCATCTAAGATAATTCTCTCAGCAATGAGTCAATGACTAATGAGAAGAAAATCTGTAAACATATTAATTCTAACCACGTACCCACTCCTTTCATGAATTGACAAAAGTTGCAAGGCATATATATAATATATACTTTGTATCACACTTTACCCACAGAGAAACAATGGTCGGACGAGTTGTATATTACCAGAACATAAATTCAAGTGGACTTGATACAACTCAAGAGAAATGACCAACATATTAAACTTTTAAAAAAAATCATCTCAAATGTAGAGAATAAAACAAGTTAATCGACCGTCATGTACTCAGTATTTTGTTGAGTAGAAGCGTGTGAGAATGATAAGGCCAATGCCATTGAAATCACAATTGTAGCGTCCATCGGTCTTATAGTAAAGATTCATGTCAAATGAGGCATGGTTTATGAGGGTATTTGGAAAGTAGCATGAACCATGTTCTTGTATTTCACTGCATTCTTTTAGGCACACACCAAGTATCCTGCAAACCCAACACAGCATAATAGTAATTAATTAAGTTTAATTAAGCATTTGAAATGATT